GTGAAGGAATTTAGTTTTGTTTTCACACACATCCCTTCACTTTAGTTTCACTCAAATTTATTTTACTTTCAGTTGTATTTTTAATATTTAAAGTGTAAAATCACATTTTTGTGAGTTTAAGAAACAAGTAAACAAACAGAAACAAGTTCTGTGAGTTTGTTTTAAAACAAATAATAGTTTCAGATCCATCTGATGTAATAAACGTGTTTATTGTGCGTCTCTTCAGGTAAAACTATATCATATTTTAAATGATAAAATACTAGTATTTTTATCCTGTTTGTAAAATAAAAGCAACAGTTTGTTTCTGTTCTGCAGGTTTTCTGGAGCAGCTGAAGGTTTTATTGAAAGACCCAGATCCATCAGTCAGAACCAAAACCTGTGAGCTGCTGCAGGTGCTGACGAGACACAGCATCGGCCGGTGAGCCGTCGGAACCCATCAGAACCTCTGTTCTGTCAGAACCCATCAGAACCTGTTGTTGTTGTAGTTCACAGAGTTCACCAGCAGGGGGCAGCAGAGCTCTGTTTAAAACAGGAAACAGCTCAAAGCTGACGGTTTACAGCTGATTTAATGATTTTTATTTTCAGAGGATAAAAACAAACATGTAACATTTAAAATCTCACATTTAAACGTTTATAAACTAAGAACAAACAGCTGTAAACATGTGTAAACTCTGACTGTGCTCCTACAGACAGGCCGTGTTCTCCTCCTCTCTCCTCCCTCCTCTCTCTGAGCTGCTGGACGACTCCTCGTCCTCCTGCAGGAGAAACGTCCTCCTGGTGCTGGACAGCCTGGCTCAGCTGCCTGCAGGTGAAACACAACCTGAACATCCTCATATGGTTGGATGAGAAGTATAAATACATGCTTCTGACTGATCCAGCTCACCTGTATGACACCTGAAGGACATGGCACACCTGCAGGACATGACACACCTGCTGCAGGACATGACACACCTGCTGCAGGACATGTCACACCTGCAGGACATGACACACCTGCAGGACATGACACACCTGCAGGACATGACACACCTGCAGGACATGACACACCTGCTGCAGGACATGACACACCTGCTGCAGGACATGACACACCTGCTGCAGGACATGACACACCTGCTGCAGGACATGACATACCTTCAGGACATGACACACCTGCTGCAGGACATGACACACCTGCAGGACATGACACACCTGCAGGACATGACACACCTGCAGGACATGTCAGACGTGGCGTTAGCATGAAGACATATCTGCAGCTGAAACACAGATTGATGCTTCAGTTTCCATCATTTCCAGTTGTAGAGATTTATAATCTACACCTTCTCATAATGAAGTTATGAGGAATTAAGAGTTATTTTTAATACAGATAATAATGCCTTTTCTGTGTAATTATCAGGAAATTAACCAATGAGTGACATAGTTGTAAAGTTTTATCTGAAATAAATTATATTTATTTACAGAAAAACATTTACTTATATAGAAGCTCACTGAGGGATGATCAGATTCTTACAAAAGTTGAAATCAATAACATTTAACTCGTGAACGTGTTAAATATCGTTATTTTGACAACTTTATCAGGAACAACAACGTTTGTCTTTTAGATGTTGAGTAAACCATGGTTTGAAGAACTGTTCTCAAAGATTTGGCAGGATGTGGGAAAGACTGAAGAGTGGGAGGAAAAGGTTTGTTAAGGAGGGGATTAAGTTGATCTTATCAAGTGAGGAGCCAGAAGGATTGTAAATGTTGCTCCGACACAGTCCGGACTCAGACACCTTTTAATCAACCAAGTTCAGCTTTCACCTTTTCTAGACTTCAATCAGGTTAAGCGTGGTGGAAGTTGACCCGGGCCAGCTAGGAATCCGCTTAGAACCTCCAGAACCGACCAGGCTGCCAGACCTCAAGTTGATTGTTTCAGCATCTCGTGATCTCTGAACTCGTGCGTGGAGAGTCACAACCGACGGGTTCCTCTGGTCAGAAAATAAAAGCGTCTCACAGAAGTTCTGGAGCAAATCTTCCTGGAGATGCTGTTAAATTGATTCACGACTGGCGGTGTCATGAACCTGGGATAAGATCGGCCCGTTAGCAAACGGGCAAAAATCTTCTCACCTGAACGCTGGTTTTTCCTGAGGAGGAGAAACCAGCACCTCCTCACTTAGAAGCGTAGATGGACACAGTCTTGGGGAGGCCCGCCCGTTGGTTAGGAACTAAGGAGAGAAAGAGAAGAGAGGGTACCATCGGGCGTGACCTTGAAGTGTTGGTAAAGGATGGAGGTGAAGTTCAGTCTGGGAGAGTTCACCTGGTCAGCAGAAAACTGCCTGAGTCAGCAAAACAACACCTGTGAAAACATCAAACCTTCACAAGTTTAACACTTTTTAAAATGAACCAAGCTTTAGTGAACTTTTCAAATCAGCATAAAACTTAAGATTTTGTTTAAGCTTAAGCACAATTAATCAAACATTTTTCTTAGTAAAACATGGTAAAATAAATTATTAATATTGTGTAGATGAATTGAAAATTAAAAAAGAGAAACACATAATCATCTTATATTCAAATAACGGTTGATTAAAACACAAATAAAGAAACATTGGAACAATATCTTTATGTGTTTTTTCTTTTCTGAGTTAGAATGAAAGAAAATAGCTTGTTATTCATTTAAGTGTGTAACTTTGATTTATAACATGATAACTTTTAGTTAAGAGAAAATATAAATCAATAATATAAAGAACATTATTATTTTATTATCTTGATAAAATAAAATAAAATAAAATAAAATGTCTCTTTACTGTTTAAGAAAACATGTTGACTGTAACTCAAACAGAGTTCTGTTCTTTAATCCAGGGCTTCTGGACCTTTCTGACCTCGGGACCCAGTTTATTGAACATAAAGTGACCTGAGGTCCAGTCAGACATTACTAATGTATGGATCAAAATGATAATTATTCTATATCTTGGTTTAATTTTTATTGTATTTACATTATAACTAAATTAAATACACTTAAAGTTTAAAAGTAAAACTCCTGTCAAATAATCACAAGACCTGATTATGACAAACATTTTTATATTGTAACCTGCCCATAACTATTATTTGAACAAATACAGTCAGTCAACAGACCACCCAGGCTTATCAACACAAAAATGAAAAATTTTAACATAAACAACAACGAAAATAGACAATTCAATAAATAAAATTTGATCATAAAATAGATACATTCAAAAATATTTAATGTAAATGTTTTAAATAAAAAATTGTAAAACTAAATTTGATAAAGTGTAAATGAAAGTAAAGCCTTTTTAAATTTTGCATGGTAGAACCAGAGGCTGCTTTTCATATTAGTGACAAACAATAACAGTAACAACAGCTTTTTGACAAAAAGCTTAAAAATAAATTACAAAATTTATTTGATAAAGTGCAAATTAAAACATAGTTGTATCTGCAACTGTATTTGATAATGTTTTGAACTTTAAAAATATTGCATGGTAGAACCAGAGGCTGCACTTCATATTAGTGACAAACTGACATTTTTTGATGGGTTACCTTCATTTTTGCTTCTATTTTTCATTTAAATAGGGCCCTTTCCCAATCTGTGGCTACACACTTGCCGTACTCCCTACTCACTCGGTTCGCGCGTTCCCGTGGAGGGTTGGCCATATTAAGTCCCATCCGAAACCAATTAGGTACGAGGGCGAGTGGCTTATTAAGCCCTCCACAGCGAGTCTACATCCAGTGCAGACATGAGCAGAAGTTTCAGCACCAAGTAGTGGTCAGCATGGAGGACAGGATG